GCTGGAAAACGTTTGTCGGACACAGAGTAGGGGAAATACAAGAGCTAACGGTCATGTCCGAATGGAATCACGTGAGCACTAAAGATAACCCGGCTGATCTTGTTTCTCGTGGCTGTGAACCAACTCAAATACAGAATAATCAGCTATGGTGGAAGGGTCCTGAATGGCTTAGCAAAAGTATAGTGAATTGGCCAAATGTTGATGCTTAATGGTCAAGCGAAATGGGTGAGATTCCGGAAGAAAGAAATACAACTATTTCAGTTGTAACAATCGAGTATGATACGTCCTTATTAAACCGATATTCGTCATTGAACAAATTATTACGTGTAACGTCCTACTGTCGCCGTTTTATTAATAACGCCGTGTCGGGCAATGTCAAAATAACCGGTCCACTTCAAGCGACATAAAAAATAAAGTGATATACAGTCCACACACACACAAATATGATGTTATGATTTTTAACAATGTCAAAATAACCGGTCCACTTCAAGCAGACGAGATAAATAACGCTACTACTTGTATAATTAAACTAGTACAGTATAACAGCTGGAGTGAAGAAATTACTGCATTGAGTAGCGCACGTCAAATAAGTCCGAAAAGTAAGCTATATCAACTTAAACCATTTTTGGACGAAAATAAACTCATCAGGGTGGGCGGGAGACTTAAAAATGCCGACACCTTGGACATTTTTGAAAAGCATCCAATTCCGCTTCCTGCAGATAGTCCGTTCACGAGATTAATATTTGTAAACGAACACGAGAAAACAATGCATGGCGGTCCACAGATAATGTTAGCGGCAATTCGCAATAAATATTGGCCAATTAATGGACGTAATATTGCGCGAAAAATAACTCAGAAGTGCGTTAAATGTTTTAAATACAAGCCAGTCGTGGTACAACCTATTATGGGCAATTTACCACAAGCTCGAATTGAACCCGCAAAACCGTTCCAAAGGTCTGGTGTCGATTTCGCAGGACCATTTCTGGTAAAGTCGTCCTTACGGCGGAATGCGTCAGCTAACAAAGCATATGCATGCATGTGGGTATGTTTTGTTACCAAGGCCGTTCACATAGAGCTGGTAGGAGATTTAACTACGCAATCCTTTATGAACGCATTAAAAAGATTTTGTGATAGGCGTGGTTTAGTGAGCGATATATACTCAGATAACGCAACCAATTTTGTGGGAGCTAGTCGTCAATTGTTAGAACTTAAGACACTATTCTGGTCACCCGAGCACCAAGAAAAACTGCAAAGGTTCACTGCAAATAATGGTATTCGCTGGCACTTCATTCCAGCACGTTCCCCTCACTTTGGCGGTCTTTGGGAAGCTGCAATTAAAGCGATGAAATCGCATTTGTTTAAGACAGTTGGTAATGTATCTCTTACATTCGAAGAATTATACAGTATCCTTGTTCGAGTAGAAGCAATTTTAAATTCACGACCAATCACTTCGCTATCAGCTGATCCATCGGATTTAACAGCCTTGACGCCAGGGCATTTCTTAACTGGTGACATATTCCACGTTTTTCCAGAAGAAGATGTGACGGCCATACCTACTAATCGTCTAACCAGGTGGAGAAGAGTCACGCAGTTCACGCAACAGCTTTGGCAGAGGTGGCGTCGTGATTATTTAACACAACTGCAAACTAGAGGTAAATGGGCGACATCCACAGGACCCGAACTAGAAGTGAATTCAGTTGTGCTGTTGCGAGACGACAATCGTCCACCGCTACAATGGCGTATTGGTCGAGTCACTGAAGTACAACCAGGTGCTGATGGTGTGATACGCGTTGCCACCGTACGTACAGTAGATGGATCGTTCAAACGTGCTGTACGACAGCTTTGTCCATTACCAATTGACACATAAAACATTTTTTTGTTGTTTTGTTGTTAAATAATTGTTTTTTTTTTTTTT